GGACTTTGGGGACTTGGGGGAAAGGGTGGGGGGGTGGTGAGGGATAAAAGACTACAGATTGAGTACAGTGTACACTGCTCCGGTGATGGGTGCACCAAAATCTCACAAATCACCACTAAATAGCTTATTCATGTAACCAAACACCACCTGTTCCCCAAAAACCTATTAAAAAAATTAAAAATTAAAAATAGATGCCCAAAGAAAAACCACAAATAGGGAAACATTTGCAATGTAATTGCCACTGATCAAAGATTAATATTCAGAATATGAAGAACACCTACAATTTAATAAATAAAAAATCAACACATCAATAGAAAAATAAGTAATAATTATGAATATACATTTTACAGAGAGGAAACACAAAAGGCCAACAAGCAGATGAAAAATACTTAAACTACCTTAGTGATCATGGAAAAGCAAATTAAGACCATGGAGAGATACAATCCTTTTCCTTTTACAAGCTTTTGATTGGCATTGATTAAGAAAACTGACAAAACTAAGTTCTGGTGAAGTCATAGGTAAAAAGAAACTCGTATATTACAGGTATATGAGTTTTTGAAAAGTTTTCCATTATCTTAAAATCTTGAGCATTTATATAATCTAAAACCTAAAAACTCCATTTCTAGGTAAATGCTTTAGAGAAACAAGTTTCATATAGCATGAAATATGAACAACCCTTGTTAGTATGTTCATAGACAGGGAAATGGATAAATTATGAAATTTTTTTACGCAGTAGAAACCTGAATGCGTTTCAACTACATACAGGCAATGGATAAAATCAGTGACGTACAAATAGATCCCCTGTATGTAGTTGAAAGGCATTCAGATTTCTAGTGTGTAAATGTAGAACAATTGTTTTCCTGAAAAAAGAAAGCCCTGATTTGTAGAGATTGATGATTTCCATGGTGTGAATACTCCCACTATGACTGATTTCCAGCAGCCAAACTGAAATGGTAGTTGGTTCTCCTAGTCTGGTATAAGCAAGTTGCAGCTCACCATTAAATGAGTTTTAAAAACCTAATGCTTCTTGAACAAGAGCAAGTCACAGAATGCCATTTTAATAAAGCTCCAAAAAGCAAATCTAGCCAATACATTCTTTAGGAAAACATAAGTGACAAAACTATATTTAAAGAAGGGAATGACAAACACAAAATATTGGTTATTCTCAAGGGTAAGGGGAGACTGGGTGATGGGGTAAGGAAGGAGCCCACACATATATGAAGGTTATTGAAAATGCCCTAATTATTAAGTGGTGGGTTTGGGGTGTTTATTTTGTCATTTGTAATTTGTAATTTAAATATATCACATATGCTAATAGCTGTGATATATTTTGCATGTTATATTTATATAAATGTTTTACAGATGTTGTATTTTTATATGTCAAATATTAGGTAATAAATATTTTTTTAAAAACTGCTAAGGGAACATAAACCAATGTTAATGTAGCGTAATACAAAGAAATGGCCATAGTTAATACATACTCACATCTGTGGTGATGACATGGCATGTTCTTATGATAGACATTTAACCCTGATAATGAACATTAAGTAATGTGTCACTAGCAACATGGAGGCCCCAGGCTGGCCATTCGTTGACACTCGCATAGCTTCTGGAGTCAGTCTGGTTTCTGCTCGTAGATATTCTTGCATGTGTATCTTCACTTACGCCATCCTTCCCTGACTAGCAATAAGGCCTTTTTTCCCTCCCTTCTCTGCCTATTTAGATCATCTGCTGTAAGATCATGTAAAGTCTCTCTGATATTTTCTTTCTCTCATTCCCAAATTGTTTTTGAATTGCTTCTTCTGTGTTTGTTTCTCCTACTTCCATTGGATTATATGCTTCTTGAAGTTTTCTTATGTTACTCATCATGCCCAATACAAAACCAGGCACAAGAAAGACACTATTTAGTTAGTTGCCAATAATTTTTTAAATTTTATCAAAATAACTCCAACTTACCAATCTTTACCTATATATATCCTTCAGCAATCTCATTTACATAATTACTGAGTATTATAAGGACTCAAATTTCCTGGGAAATTAAATAATGTATCAAGAATGTGTTGCAGATTATACTTTAAGCTCTTTTCTTGAAATGCCTAATCCTGCATTCTTCACATTCAATTATTAGTATGCCTAATCTGCAAATTCCAGAATATGAGTTTCTGATTTAGTACATTCTTTTCTACTTAAGTTAGTCAAATGACTAGATCCAATAATTGAATAGCATTGGCACTATCCGAAAGTGCTATAAAGTTGACAGTTTGTGTCAACTGTGCATCCACATTGAACTTGGCTCGGCAAGCATAAATATTTCTATAAATAGGTATAACTGTGCATTAAAAAAGTCTGTTGTGACACAAGCAGCAAAAGTAAAAATAATGGCTGAAAAAAGTTGGATGTAGCTAAGCACTGCAATAAACTACAGATTTTTAGGTTCCCACCAACATGTCCAATCAACCACACGGGCTGAATTTTTAGTCCTACTGCTGCCACGGATTATTAGATTTCTGGTAAAATTACCTTATCTTTCCATGCTTCAGTTTCTTCTTCTCTAAAATTAGGATATAAGATAAACTGTAATATTTGACAAATTTAGGGACTCATTTCCCACCCACCCACAGGTGATTTAAAATAGCTAAAAAAAATTACTTACATTTGAAAATCATGCATAAAAGAAATTGCTCTGGAATAAACAGAGCAAAAAAGCTTGCACATATGTACTCACCTGTTACTGTTAATAAGCGATGCACTTAGAACACATAAACAATGGTATTTACTGCTCCAAGCATTAAACACTAAGGTTTTACTTTCATGATATCTCTGGTCCCTACTAGCTGGTTAGATTGGTATCCTATTATTAGATTTGGGCTATTTGGCAGTATCCATTTGACTTCATAACTTTCAAAAACAGTACTTATGTAAACTCTCAAATGTTCTGGCAGTACTTATAGTTGTCCCTTCATACTAAGCTCAATGGAGATTTCTGGATATCGTACCAATAACCAGGGAGAATTCAACAGAAACAAAATCGAACAAAATGTAAATAATACAAAGTTACTAATATTTTCTCTTTATAAATGTTCATCTTTGTTAAAAAGTTAATACTGCCCTGTAAATGTGTTCAAGTAAATTTCATGAAAGAAAGTGCACAGAAAATATTCAACTTCTTTTGAAAGCACCTAATGCAGTGCTTGGCATATAGTATTTGTTCAATAAATGAATACACAAATATACAAATACAGTAAATGTATGAATGAAAGAATGAATACATAAATAATCAAGCAGAATGACATCTCTTAAAAACCATTAACTACTCGTGGAGAAGAGCTTGAGAACTCATTTATAGTATTTCTAACTTTAAAAAAATTAGCAAATCCATGAGAAGGTGGATTTTATTGTCCTATATATGGAAATAATTTTCTTCGTAATGTAGAATAGAACATTTTAATGTTATTTATTTATTAAGTCAATAGATTACTCAAATAAGAACTTCAATACATAAACAAAACAGGAAACATACTGAGTGAATACTAAAATTATAGTAGCATTTGCTCACAGTTCTGCAGAATATAATTCAGTTTTGGAGGACTTAAATTATGCTTAATTTACATCCTAATTTAACAAATTTATTGTCACCTTTACAATTGGGTTTTGGGAGCTAGAGCTTCAAGTATTCTTTACAAGTGGATTAATAGTTTTGCATTTGGTATAATTCTCGTTGTCTCTCATGATTTTATCCACTAAAACTTGCTTATTTTTAATATCTATGTTCTGTTAGGAAAGGTAGATTTAAAATCTTTAAATTCACCTACAACTTGTGAACGATGTCTTTCTCCTGAAGTCAGTTTTACGGTGGAAGGTGTTCTGTGTTCTAAAACAAAATCCGCATTTACATCTACATAAACTATGTGCCCCAGAATTTAGAAACTTGTCTTCTTGAATGTAAAATTCTGAGTTATCAGAGATAGAGAGAGCTCCATGATTCGAAAGCTATGATTATGGATCTGTGCTGAGCTTTCCATTGTCTCCCTGGTGTTTGGTGGTCATTAAGGGTTTGAAAGATTTCATGCTCTAATTCTCATTTCAGAGTATATGTTTTACGAAACAGAAAAATCTGTCTCCATATGTACATAAAGCTAAAGGAAAATCTTTAGGGCTTTATATGATTCCCTCAAGTATTAATAAATATAAGAAATTAATTTTTAAATCCAGTGGTTTAAAATACCTTTCTCTTAACTGATTTTTTTTTAATTTGAAAAGGAGTTCAAACTCAACTGAGAGACGTCAACAGTCTTCTGGATAGATTATTCCTAGTTGCTCCATTTACCTATCCCTGTCACAGAATTCTTTATAACCCGTAGAAATCCTTGTTGTTCTGATGGTTGTTATAATGTCAGAAGACACAAGAAAAAGGTTGCATCATTTTTTTCCACATATTTGAAAGCCACTACTCACTCACCCATCAATGTATTCAATTCAGGCTAAGTAATTGCAACTTCTTGCTTCATACGTTGAAATGGAAAACCAATCACCATTTAATAATATCCACCTTTCTCTGAACTTTTTTCAGAACGTTCCATTCCATCTGAAAGAGAGAGCACAAAATAGTACTCAAATTGTGTAACCCCCAAAAGGAGACAACTGATAGATAAAACAAATAATTTTAAAATTATAAAAAAGAAAAACGACATTAAATATAATTATATTCCAACAATTAGCTGCATAATATGCCAAAATATCTTGCTTCATTTGTATAACTAAGATAACTGCGGTTCTTGCACATCCTGACATTATTGTGCCCTTCTAAATTGAAAATACTTATCATTTTTCATAAGTTGTGTTTAAGTTAAATATTATTTCATGTTCTATTTTAACTCACAAACAATATGATTTTTTCAACAACAAATTCTGTCATTTTATTATCACAACAGTTTTATATATCAGAGAATTAATAAGCAATATGTGACTGTAATTTATTCATTTTTAAAAAATAAAAATAGATTCCTTACCTGGGACTGAAGAAGCACTAATGGAGGAGGGTGATGAATTTGAGAAAGCGTCTAAACTAACAGGACCTGTAAGTATAATCATTGACTTATTATTTTTTTAATTGCTAAAACTAATTTAAATTACTAATAGGAAAATCTAAATAAAATATAATAAAGCCAACTTTCTTACTGGTTAATTAGGCTGCTCTAAGTTGTTTCGACAGTTGGGGAAGAAGACTCGAACTAGATGAGAAAACTGAAGTTCTGATGTTATTAGCTGCTTGCTTGTTGTGCATGTGAGCACGCTAAAAGGTTATGAGCTGCCATGTTAAACTTCAGTAAGTTTAACTATACTTACCTTGGTAGTAAAACAAATATTTTGCATATCCTGAAAGTTTACATATGACTTATGCTATTTTTAGTTGTGAAGTCCTTGTAATATGTTTGTTAAACCATATATCTTCAATACAGTATTTTGGGAGAGAACTATTAGGTTTAAGATTTTTAATGCGATTTAAAGTTAAAAGAATCAATAGAAAAAACCTGAAATTCTGTACAAATTCTAACTAAAAATAATTTTTTATACATGCTAAAGTTCATAAAATATTTTGAGTTTCTATAAAAATAACAATAAAAATAACTAATGCAATCATGCGTTATCTTAAACATAATATTTGGACTGGGTTTGTATGTGTCTATATTCTCTGTATTAATTTGCTAGAGCTGCCATAACAAAGTAGCAAAGACTGGGTAGCTTAAATAACAAAAAGTTATTTTCTCAAAATTCTGGAGTCAAAAATAAAGGATCACAGTATTGGCAGGGCTGGTTGCTTCTGAGGTCTCCCTTTGTACCTTGTGGATGAATGTCTTCTCCCTGTGTCTTCACAGCTTTTTCCCTTTGTACGTGTCTGTGTCCTAATCACTTAACACCAGTGATATATCACAAATATCACCAGTGATATTGAATGAGGGCCTCCCTAATAAACACCTTTAACTTAATTACCTCTCTAAAGACCTTATTTCCAAATACATTCTGAGGTACTTGGGCAAGGAATTTGACATATGAAGTTTTAGGAGAACACAGTTCAACCCATAACACTCTGTGACAAGATTACATGATTTTAAACATTATTCACATCATAGGATTTGGTAAAAGGCGCCAAGTTTTCCAATGAACTTGATAATAAAATAAATTTTAAAAATTATTGATGAAATTAATGTATCTTTGCTCAGATGTTATTTTATTGACCCTATTTAAAATTTTGCATTTCCCTTCTTTATTTTTTATACAGTACTTATGATTTCTACTGTGTGATGTAATTTACTTATTTGTTTTACTGTTCGTTTCTTTCAACTGTAATATAAGGTCTACCCATGGCAAGAATTTTTGTACATTTTTTTCACTTCCACATCCCTAGAAGAGTACCTACACACAGGAGGCCCATAATATCTCACACACACACACACACACACACACACACACACACACATGTTGAATGCATAGTTCAGCAATAATTCCTCACCATAAGATGAAAACTATTATATTTTCCTTTACTATAAAATGATAAAATCTTAGAAATAGAAAAAACCATGGTAACTGTCCAGTTCAACATTTCCCATCTCTTACCTTGGCATTTTCAACCGTGGTGTTTTCACTCCTGTATTCAATGCAGTGATATCTAACCTATAGATGAGGAAACAGAAACTCAGAGAAGCTAAGGAACTAAAGTTAAAAGTTAAAACTAAAGTTAAAAGTTAAAAGTCCTAAAGTTAAAAGAACAGTGATATCAGGAGTTGGGACTAGTCAATTTTCCTTCTACTGTACATCCTTAATATTTTTAGTGCTTTTCTGTTTCTTTTAGAAACTGTTTATTCCTGTTTGTTAGAGATTGTCTTCCATTCCTCACAAACATTGGTCCTAGTTCTACTCGGGGAGTGATAGCTTAAACCTAATCCTTTTTACAATTAACTGATGTTCAGATATTAGAAGCTACCAGTGTGTCCCAAATGAGACTTAAATTTTTAGGTCAAAACACAGTCCATTCTTTTAACCAATGCTTTTACATTGTGTAGTTTCAAAAAATTTCAGTACCTTGATGCTTTTTCTGAATATATCCTTGTTTGCCAAGTCCCCTGCAACATGTGAGTTATGCCACAACCAAATTTAGGGTTCCAAATAATGTTCTCACATAGAGTACAATGAAGTATGTGGTTGGAACAAATATTATTTGGGGTTTATAGCCTACTGTTGCATTAATTTTATTTTTTAAGAAATGTTCTGCCATTTATAAACTTTAGTATTTCTCCATGACCTCATGATGTTATGTTGTCCTTTAGGTTGTGATAATCTGTCATTCATCACTTTTTGCAAAGGTTATCAGCTGTGAATTCCACAAAGTTCATATTTCTCCCTCAGGTCTAAACATATACCATTAGATTCTTCTTCTAATCATTTACTCCAATCAAGATATATCCTCTCTATAGTATTTGGCTGCCTTAATAATACACAAAACTGCAAAGAAAAAAGAAATTAGATTTATTTGACCAAACTTTTCATGAGTGATTTCAAATGGGCTCTTCGAGATCTTTGCTTTTTTCCACTGTACTCACACAGTGCTTCCCCAGTGCAAAAGTTTGTTGTAGGTCAACTTTGTTTTTATTTACATTCATTAGATTTTTGCATTAAAAATTATCTGATTCCACTTAATATCATATTACACATTTAAATCTTTTTGGAATTAAGTGGAATAAAAACAATAAATGAATAAATGAATGAATGTCAGGACCCTGAAGCAGACAGTTTCTAGGTGGCAGCTGCTTTTATTATGAGGAAAGCATGAGTTAAAATCAAAGTTAATTTTGTTAAAATGATGTTATTTTAGATGTAGATTTCCTAAAAATACTTCTGTAGTATTTCGTGGGAGAGCATTTTTAATAAATCAAGAAGAAAATTCTGACTTTATCTAAATATTAATGAAGAATTGGAGCAAAGCAACTTTTTTTCTTTATTACTGTAAGAAACATAAAATACTTCAAAGCAAATTTTGAGTCATATCCTGTACAAATATAAATATGCCACAAATGTTGAAAACCATTTAAGGTAGTTTCAACACAGGCTGTCTCTATTTGCTAACTTTCCATGTTGAGTATTGTATATTAATAAGTGGGGAACAGACTCTTGGAAACTGTTTTTTCCTAGTGGCTTACTCTGTGCTTGGAATATTTCTTGAATATTTTGTGAATATTTAAGTGATGTAGAGGCAACATTTATATTTGAATTTTTATCCTCCTCCAAATAAGCAAGTTGTTCTTCTGGAATTTCCCTCTCCCTCTCTGCTGTCTCTTTTTCTGGACTGCCTCTTGGTATATATACAGCCTATTCAGATTAAAACTGGATTTGTCAGGTGAAGCCGTTAAGTAAACCAACAAAAAGACAACCGTGAAAAGACAATACCAAACAGCAGGTATTGATTATGACCTCTTAGCTTCATAAATATAATGCATTATTTTAGATCAATGATTGATATACACTTAATATCAATGATTTTGGATTGCATAATTTCTTATGCAATTTTTTTTTTGCTTCAAATGCTTGTTTTTTTGGGTTGTTTTTTTTTTTTTTTTTGAGACAGGGTCTAGCTCTGTTACCTAGGCTGAATTCAGTGGTATTATCACAGCTCACTGCAGCATTGACCTCCTGGGCTCTGACATTCCTCCCACCTTAGCACCTCAACCTCCTGGGTAGCTGGGACTACAGGTGTGCACCACCACACCCGACAAAATTTTATATTTTGTAGAGACAGAACCTAGCTATGTTGCCCAGGCTGGTCTTGAACTCCTGGACTCAGGCAATCCTCCTTCCTCGGCCACCCAAAGTGCCAGGATTACAGGAATGAGCTTCCTTTATCTTAAAAAATCTATTTTGCTGTAAAATTATTAAATAAATATATAGGTGTAAAGGGAAGATGAAGATAATTAAGAAAGATCATTGATAGTAAATATTTTACTGACTTTTTTTTTTTCCTTGTAAATTTTTAAAGTTATTGTATTCATCAGCCAGTAATGACTAGCTCATTATAATCTGACTCTCATAAGACTTTATGTAACTGGTCATCATTTCTTAAAGTAGAAAAGAAAATGTAAAAGACTTCTGTAAAAAAGGTTTCCTAAAATGCCCAGGGTTTACTAAAAGTTATGCTTTTGGTATATTCTCCTCCTGGAGAGTTTTATCTGCTTGGGAAAATATATAAAATTGCCTAGGATAATATCACATATCAATATGTGATGATATCACATATTTGTACAGCACTTTTTAATTATTAAGTGCTTCACATATTTAACACCAATAATGTCTAAATTTTGTCATTTTCATGGCTTATCACTTTATCCTGACCACCTCGCTGTGAAGTAGTGCTTCTTTAGCTTCAGATGAGCATACTGAGCTTCCAAAAGATCTTGTGATTTGTCCCAGGTCACATAGAGAGGGCAGGACAAAAACTCATGGTTCCCAGTGCCCATACTGTCTTTCATAGAACTTGTTGGGATCCATACAATTGGTACTTATTTGCAAATTTGTATTTAGGCACTTAGTCACTGTTAACACCTGCAATGAAAAAGGGATAAGTATTAGGCCATTATCAGTAGCCAATATCTTTTTTTATTTTTTGTTTTATTTTATTTTATTTTAAGATGGAGTCTTGCTCTGTCACCCAAGCTGGAGTGCAGTGGTGCGATCTTAGCTCATTGCAATCTCTGCCTCCTGGGTTCAAGTAATTCTCATGCCTCTGGCTCCCTAGTAACTGGGATTACAGGCATGTACCACCACGCCCAGCTAATTTTTGTATTTTTAGTAGAGATGGGGTTTCACCATGTTGGTCAGACTGACCTTGAACTCCTGACCTCAAGTGATCCATCCGCCTCAGCCTCCCAAAGTGCTGAGATTACAGGTGTAAGCCACCATGCCTGGCCATCAATATCAAAGGTAGAATTATTCACTGGATGAAGTAGGTAGTGAAAAGCAACAGTTTGAGGGACTGGATCAGAACAGGTAGTTTTTTATGAGAGAAAGGGATCGGTACATTTCAGCATA